TCGATCAATTTCCTTAGCCGTGCATCCTCTTTCTGCGGCGGCCACCTTTGGCTATGGGACGAGGGTAGAATGTGTAATGAATTGCTTGTTTAATTAATTACGACCCTCGAGCGGCGCCCGCCCGAGTTCGAAGCGAGCCGCGCTCGTTCCGGCATCGGAACGCCTGCCTGCCTGTTCCTTCTAGCCGTGGCTTGGATAGAATTCATAGGGCTGATTTATTGCTGGTCGAGCGAAAAGAAGGGTCCCAATGATTCACGGACCGGATAGGAAATTTGTTTGTAACTCCATTTGTTTGTTTCGAGAGGGAACGGGGGGGGAGGGGAAGGGAGGAGATCACTTCTCAGTCGATGTTCCACGATTGCTTAAAATTATTTAACGACTGAAAGTAATAGTTATCCATGGTTATTATTCATTCGACTCTTGAACCATTTGCCGTTGCAAATTTACAACGTTCTAGATTTTTAATTCTGAACCTGTATCAATTGGAAGAATTAAGGCGCATTCAATTGCCCTAATAATTAAACTGCCACGAGACAAAAGTAAGCTCGGAACTTACATTATTAATTCTGAATCTGTCAGTTGAAAAAAAAAATTGAGAATTTGAGGATTGAAATTTGAAACTAAATGGACATAATTATCGCAAATTACGAACAGAACTCGAATACATTCTTCAGTAAAGTTTGAACGTTACTTAAAAGCTGATCGTAACAATGGATTTTAGGAAAAGAAATAGTCTGCCATTGATGTCAAAAAGTTTTCGAGAGAAAAGTATCTATGAATGATAATCAACTAAAAATTTTAATGATTATAACTTTGTAACAGTTAAAATGTATTGAATATAATGAGTACAATGAATTTGATTAATGTTATTTTGAAGAAAAGTAAATTAACTAGAAGTTTTATCGAGAATCTAGTTATTTCATCTGCAACAATAATTATCAATGAAAAAGACTTGCCAACTTTGCTTATTTTTAGATGATTTAGAGTGATCTTTCTCTTACAATCAGAACGATCTACTTAGAGTGATCTTTGAACAAATAAGCAATCGATTGAACAACGAAATCACGCCAGAAAATTGCGCTTCACGTTACACATCACGTAAATGTAGATAGTGGAACGATAACTTTTTCTTCCAACTGCATGATTGCGGATGTGCTGATGAAACAGAACAGAACGAGCCGAGCTCTAAACAAGACCTCAAAGAGACTAATTACATTTAATTTAGAAAAAAGAAACCAAAAGAGAAAGAAAAAAAAAAGAGAAGCTAATACGTATGTCTTTGAATCCGTTTCGCCGGCGTCGGAGGATGTAGGCGTAATAAAATTAGGGAGCGTGTCAAAGACGAGGAAGCGAGGACCGACGGTTTAAAGAAACGCCGATCGACCACCCACAACATGTAACCCTTTTATCTCGTGCCGCGTCCCTTCCCGTGGATCCCTTTATTTCGGGTGAAAACATTTTCTTCCCAGCAGATGCAACGAGCCGCTCATTTTATATAGGCGCCGGAAAAGGTCCGTGCGGTTTCCTTGCTGGCAATTAACTGACAATAAAATCGAGTCTCAATCGGCGATTTGCGAGTACAATTTCCTTCGAGCCGCTCCATCAGCGGAGAATCTGATTTCACGAGATATAATTTTCCAATCATTCCAGTGCGGGCTGTTAACAATACCGTAAACTATGATAATAATAAGTAAAATTAATGTCACGAAAAATTTTGTACGTTTGTGGGAAATTTACAACTGCAAAAATGCAAGATGGAAAGAAATATTTACAAATTCAATGAGTCAAGCGTATCTCTGTTTTTTTTTTAAATTGAAATTTGCATACGTATCCGCTCTGTCTAGTAACAAATGTTATGCGACAATTGATGCGATAATTTTTTTTTTAAACTTTCAGAGATTTGAGCGACTTTGCATAAATATATAAGTTATGAACTTTAACTTTTCTGACAGTGGTTTTATATTTCAGTCATCGAGTAATAAAGGCAGTGAGTATAATCTACAAAGTTGGAATATAAATTATCACGTATGTGAGATTAAAGACGAGACATGAAAGAATGAGATAAGAGAATCTTTGATAACGAGTGATACACGGGTTTTAGGTAGTTTACAACGATTTCGTGGGTGGTCTAAACAGACGAGCGGATGTGCACGATACTACATGATATACAACAATGTTACGCTGGCTATTTTCGACGTGCAAAGAGTGCTTGCAAGTATTAATTTAAAGTACGATATTTTTGGAAAAAGACAGATCATTTGCTTTAAAATAGTCGAGAAAGAAATTTAACATTAATACTCTGATTGCCGAGCAGCAACTTTATTACCAATTACTTTCAATGCTAATTACTTAGAAACTTCGAGAAAAGAAATCTATCTAACAGTGAACGATTAAAAATTCTGATTGAAATAATTATAACTTTCTGCTGAGTTTTAATACTTACATTCAATGATAAAATAATAAAATTCTTATTAAAAATCTCTTGATATATCTCTTTATAGAATGATTGCAAACGATCAGATACGAATATACTTTTTAATCTCTACCAATGAATCACTGTACTTTGTCAATATTTTGATGTATTTTTCACGTCCAGTTATCTTTTTTTTTTTTGGATATGTAACATAGAAACCTGCCCATATACATCATAAAAAAATAATAATAATCAATAATAATAAAATATTTCTCCAGTGAAATTCTATTTGTACGAACTCATCGGATGACAAACAGATATATAATTCAAGTTCTTATAATAGAAATGTACTGTGTAGATTTTTCGTTCACGAAAAGAATTTAAGTTGAAGAATTCAACCAGTAAAAATTGACTTAATCAAGTACTGACTGAAATCTGACTCGAATAAATGGAGCTCAAACAAATGGAATCCCACTGACACTCTTTTATTTAATCAAATTCACAAAAAAAAAAAGAAAAGAAAAAAAAATTCATATTAAATTCATATATTCCACCAATAAGAATTCATTTAATCGAACGATCAAGCCAACTATTGACTAAAATTTGGTCCCAGTAGATGTAACTCCATCGTATTTACACCCCATTGTTTGATCAAATTCGTGAAAGTACAATGAACTTGCAGAAAAACCCACTAACCAAACGTCCATCAATATCCCTCTACCCCCTTCAGCCTGTGTATCAACTTCGATAGCTCAATTTCGACGGCTCGCGTCTGGGACGTAGATTTACAAACACCGAGAAGGGGGCGGTAAATTTCGATTGCACGACGTGATACTCCGCCTCCGTTCGGCGGTGTGCAACCCCCGGGGTGTAGATGTTCCAAAGGAACGAGCAAGCCCGCCGACACACGTCGCCGCGAAATAACCGACGGCTACGAGGGGGGTAATTGTGTGTCTGGAAGGTAGCTAGGGGGGAACGCGTTCTACTCGAAGGAGGTGGGTTCTTCCTTCCTCACCCCTCGTGGGCAGTTCAGCGAGACGGCAAACTTCGGAGGCGTCGCGCAATATCTCCGCGGCTAAACGCCGCAGCCCTTTATCAATGTTATGGCGGCCGGCCGCGGTTATAAATAATGGCAAATGCGCGAAACTTAGCCCAGAACCGCACCCACATCGTCCCCCACCCACCCCCTTTGAGGCCATTTCGAACCTGCGGCTTTCGACGCCTGCTACCGCGTCGCGAGTTACGCGACATGCTATTGGTCTTTCTTCTTCTTTTTTTTTTTTTTCAGAAAGTTTATTTCTTCTAATCTGTCCCTGGTATCGATTTGAAAATTACTCGCAGTATATTTATATATATTGGATATTTTTTAACGTGTAACGTGCAACTGAACTGCGAATTTTCATGAACATTTCCTTTAGGTAGTATTGTGGTTAGTATTCTTCTTTTGGATATTTTATACGTATGGACGAATTATGTGCATTGTGTATGTAGAAATTTGCATCTTTTTTTTCACAAATGTGTAAGAATTCGTAGGCTATATACAATATAATATGATATTTTTCGATAAGAGAATATGCTATCAGAGTTGCAAATACGTGATTTGCAGGCGAGAGCAGAATCTATGTGAATTTTACACGCAATTGAATATAGAAATTCGATTGTTTTATTGTAAATAAAAAATTTTACGAATTTAATTAATTATTCCATTATTTAATTCTTTATCATTGCGTCAATTTGACATCGAGGGAGAGATCAAGTTAGAGAAACGGAAGATAAGTCTGCAGTTAAATAAATTTCCGAATGACTGAAGATTTCAAACGTTTCCAAAAATATTAGGAATTCGAGAGCCGATTTGAAACCGAATATTCAAACGCAGGAATTGAAGGATTCCAGAATTAAAAGAATTAAAAGAACTCGGTTGATTTAAAGTTTGCTTGAACAAACTGTACAATTCACCTCTAAAATCGAAAAATTTCGAAATGAGCTTCTCTCGCCAGCGTAGATACGAACCAACGGAATTGAAAATCGACGCAACTAATATTTCTCAGTGAGAGAAAAATCAATAGAAGCACCCTCAGTTGGTGCTGAGTCTTAGCGCTAGTGGAATGTGAATAATTTAAATAATAAATAAGAATATATAGCAATGCTTACAGTGATACTCACTGGTCTTGGATCGCGGTTCTCGCGGCCCATCCACAGTTACTTTAATGGCCTTCGTGTACGTGGCGACTTGCGGTGGCGTCGTGGACACGGTGATGGTCAACGTGAAGCTCTTCCCTGCAACCGCAATGCAGAAGAATGTTATTTATCAAAGTATTTCTTTTTTTCTCTTCCTCTCTGTCTCTCTCTCTCTCTCT